CATTTTTGCTCCTAGTTTCTAATTGTGGAATGATTCCTTCAGTATGTATTTGCCAGATGAATAGTACAACCTTTCCAAACACTCTTCTTCAGGTGAGTAAATGCCCTGAAGCCATTTTCTATGTTGTGATAGAATAAAATATTCCAAATTGTCTAGGTGCATTAAAATGACAAGCTAAACACAAGCAGCAAATATGTGCTGCCTTTCCTGCCTATTTCTTATAGTGTTCTCTCCTATGTAGAATCTCTCTCCCTACGACAGAAAAGGAAGGTTGTAAGACTAATGAAAGCATCTTGCAGGAAAAATCTCTAACCTATAACCTGATCCCAGCCATGCAGTATATGATTGATACCCCTGCTTATGACCCCTCAGCTCTTTGACTTTCTGTTTTGTGGTTGTGCATTTTTACTGCAGCTTACTGCCATGTAAGCTGTCTTGGAACCAGCAAAAACTAAAGTGATAACTACATTTGCCAGATATATCTTTATATTACGTTACAAGCTTGATTTTCTGACTCCATCCTCAAACAATGCATCTTTCTACTTTCCTCAGCAATAGATTTTCCACTGGAGTGATTTCTCTCATTTTTACATACAATTATTTACAACATAACTTTAAGCCCCTAAAAGTGCTCCCTAGGCAGTTTATATCCATGAAATTAAATACCCAAATGCATACAAGACAACAAGGAAAGTTAAAATGAGTTAATATATCATCCTGGAAGCAAAGATCAAAAACATCATGTCACCAGGAGATGAAGGTTGAATAAATATGAGTTGAAACAAAATAATATTTGCTATTTTCTGAAAAGCATAAAAATAGAAGGCCAACAGGGCTTCCTGGAAAAGAAGTTTCTGGGCCCTTCCACACAGTCCTATATCCCAGAATATCAAGGCAGAACATCCCACATTATCTGCGTGAGGGACTCAGATAACCCAGTTCAAAGCAGATATTGTGGGATGTTCTGCCTTGATATTCTGGGACACAGGCCTGTATGGAAGGGCCCTCAGAAACTGGGTGCTGCAGCCTACAAGTCCCTATCCCCATATCCATTGCAATATTACAATGATGGGGAAATCCACAATTGTTCACTGTCTCTGTTTTATATTTTAAAAGATGTGGAATACACAATTCCAAGCCAGCTTCATGGTAATGATTAGCCATTTTCAAATTTCATTGTGGGAAGAAGAAGAATTCCAAATGTGATTTACAGGCTGTATCTTAGATTTATTAACAATTACATCACAAAACAGAACTCCCCATTCCTCTCCCTACTAAACATGCATAGCATCAAGGGAATTTGGTTATTTATAGTATCTTATTATTATGATAGGAAAATATTATAAACATCCAAGGATAAGGAGTCAACTTCTAAAAAATTAAAGGGGATTGTATGTCTAATAAATAAAATTTTTTTTATTTATACCCCACCACCATCTCCCATAGGGACTCAGGGCGGCTTACAAAATAGCATATACTGGTGCCATACAATACACAAAATGCAATACATCAACATTACGATCGATAAAACATTTACATAAAACCAAACATATACAATTAATACAAGCAAATAAAATCAATAATAGCCGTTAATTAAAAGATCCATACAATCAGTTTAATACATGCCCATCTAATTAATGGAACACTGTATGTAATTTACCAGTGTGCTAATATGGTGACTAGAAACAACTGTCTGTTATCTTTAAAAAAGTAAGAAACTCATATATCTCTTTGTAAATGTCAACCTTGCTAAACTGTAAGACATAATTGATGGAGTCTGCATTTCAGGATGTTCTATGCAAGGGCTTCAAATGATCAGGGCCATTTCAGATATTAAAGAGTAATAGACACTCATATTTCCATTGTGAGCTGATTACCTTTTTATCAGTCAACCTTCACAAGATGTTCTGTGTAAGAGTGAAATAGAAATACTCAATCTTGTATTTCATGATGTCATGGTACCTCAAGAGATACAGATGCTCATCGGATCCCACAGAAAATGCAATGTGTGAAACGGGTATACTGAAGTTTTTGTTTATGGTAACATGGGAAGTTTGGCTTTATTTGGGAAATTATTCATTCAACAACCCATTAATTTACTAGAATGGATGATATAGAATTCTGCCTTGGTTATTCCCCTGACTTGAATTCACATTATTTACCAAAATCTACTGTTTTCTTGGTTATTTGGAAGCGAAGCATTCTGAGCACTGTTTGCTCTTTGTTTTATAAACAAGGAAGACAAAGCATAAATATTTGTAGTAAGGTGATTACTTTTCATAAGAATGCTTTCAGGAAGGTTCCCACAGACTTATATATACAAAATGTTACCAGAGTGGAAGATGTCCAGATTTGTAATGCTAATTTTAGAATTCTGCTGAGTCTTGCTCACAGATCTTGGCTGCAAAGTTTACAGGAATCTTAGATGCAAATGTTATGTTCTCCCTTCTTTAAAGGAGCAATGATTGATGTGTATTTCCAGGCAAGAACTTCCCATTGAAGGACTGCCAAATGTTTCTGGCCAAATGATCCACAATATAGGATATATACAAAGGGTTGTTGTGAGATTTCCGGGCTGTATGGTCATGTTCCAGAAGCATTCTCTCCTGACGTTTCACTCACATCTATGGCAGGCATCCTCAGAGGTTGTGTGGTCTGTTGGAAACTAGGAAAATTGGGTTTCTATATCTGTGGAATAATGTCCAGGGTGGGAGAAAGAACTCTTGTCTGCTTGAGGCAAGTGTGAATGTTGCAATTGGCCACCTTGATTAGCATTTAATGGCCATGCAGCTTCAAAGCCTGGCTGTTTCCTGCCTGGGAGAATCCTTTGTTGGGAGATGTTAGCTGGCCCTGATTGTTTCCTGTCTGGAATTCCTGTTTTTTGAGTGTTGCTCTTTTTTACTATCCTGATTTTAGAGTTTTTTAAAAATACTGTAGCCCGATTTTGTTCATTTTCATGGTTTGCTCCTTGAAATTGTCCAGATGTTTGTGTATTTCAATGGCTTCTCTGCATAGTCTGACATGGTGGTTGTTAGAGGGGTCCAGCATTTCTGTGTTCTCAAATAATATGCTGTGTCCAGGTTGGTTCATCAGGCGCTCTGCTTTGGCTGACTTCACTTGCTGAAGTAGTCTGCAGTGCCTTTTGTGTTCCTTGATTCATGTTTGAGCAATGCTGCATTTGGTGGTCTCTATGTAGACTTGTCCATAGCTGCATGGTAAATGATATCCCTCTTGTCCTTTACTGAATGTAGCATTTGTTGGATTTTCTCAGTGGGTCTGTAAATAGTTTACAAAACTTCCATGGTATATAATCTAACACCCACCATGTTAGAAAAGCCACTGAAATCCACAAGCATGTGCACAATTTCAACAGAAAGAGGAAATGATGAAATAGAAAAAAATCTGGCTACCAGTATTTTTTTAAAAAAACTCTAAAATCATGACAGTAAATATAGAGCAAAACTCAAATAGAAGGGAAATTCCATACAAGAATCAGTCAGGGCCAGCTAACACCTCCCAACAAAGTATTCCCCCAGGCAGCAACCAGTCAGGCTTTGAATGTTCAAAGCCATTCAATGCTAATCAAGGTGGCTAATTGAAACATTCACATCTACCTCAAAGAGGCAAGAGTTCTTTCTCCCACCCTAGACATTCCATAGATATATAAACCCCACTTGCCTAGTTTCTGACAGACCTCACAACCACTGAGGATGCCTGCCATAGATGCAGGCAAAACATTAGGAGAGAATGCTTCTGGGACATGGCCATACAGCCCGGAAAACTCACAGCAACCCAGTGATTCTGACCATGAAAGCCTTTGACAGCACTATGATATATACAGTTAGCAATCACACCAAAAACACACTTCAAAACAACATGGGATATCACTACAGTTCACATGAGAAAGAATTGTGTGACACCTGCAATCCAAATGAATCAGAATCAGTCAAAAACTTCAAAAGAACTGCTAACAACAAGGAAGTGGGAATGTTACTTTTTATGGATTCATACCTATAAAGAAATAGGTGTGTATTGTAAGTGTGATAGGAAAAAGTTGAGCACAGTAGCTTCAGTTGTGGAGTTGCCATCTTCAATAGGTAGCAAAGATGAGCAAAGGTAGCAAAGACTAGACTGAGTCCTCCTCCTTTGCTTTGAGACCCAAAGACAATGAAAATGGGTGATTTTTTTGAGAAGACCGATCCAAATCATGAGTGAGTTTGGGGGGCTATGGTGTTTAAAGTCTTGATGTATGAAAAGATTTGCAATAATGAGCATGTTACTGTCAAAGGCTTTCATGGCTGGAATTACTGGGTTTTGTAGGTTTTTTCGGGCTATACGGCCATGTTCTAGAGGCCTCTAGAACATGACCGTATAGCCCAAAAAAAACCTACAACAACCCAATGAGCATGTCCATGTGTTGTTGGGGTTGGACTGGATGGTCCAGAAGTCTCTTCCAACTCAATGATTATTTGGGGGAGAGGGATATGCTGCATTTCCTTACCAACAGCACAATGAGGGTCGTTTGGCCTCTCCTGCAACCCAAGAATCCTCTGAACATCTGCATCCTTTATTGACTGGGGGGGGGGGTGCTTAGGAGGAGGAGGAGGCTGGGGTGAGAAAACGCCTCAGCGAGGACCTTGACAGCTACGCCTATGAGTGAGTGTGGGTGAGAGGGAGAGGGGGAGAGCAGGCGAGAGAGGAGCCACAAGACGCCTATGAAAGCCTATAAAAGCTAGCTGGCCCTCGAAGGCTGCTCGCCTTTGGAAAGGGCTCTCCCTGAGGGCGCGAGCAGGGCTGGGAACTTCAAGAGGAGACAGAGCCGAGCGAGGGAGGGAGAGAGAGGGGGAGCCCCTTGCTCTGCGGGAGAGCTGATGCTGGAGCAGAGAGAGAGAGAGAGAGAGAAGGAGGGAGGGGGAGAGKAGGAGAGAAGGAGGAGAGAGAGAGAGAAGGAGAGAGGGAGGGAGACAGAAAGAGGCAGAGAGGGAGAGAAGGAGGGGGAGAGAAGGAGGGGGAGAGTCAGAGAGTCAGAGAAGGAGAGAGAGAGAGAAGGAGGGAGGGGGAGAGAGACATAGAGAGGCAGGGAGGGAGAGAAGGAGGGAGAGAGTCAGAGAGKCAGAGTCAGAGAAGGAGAGAGAGAGAGAGAGAGAGMGAGCGCTGCCTTCCCGCCTCGACCCCAATTAGAGTGGCGCGCGCTTCCCTGAGCCTCCTTCTTTGGCGGGAGCCTCGCGCGCGCCTCCTCCTTCTCCTCCTGACAGCTCTTCCTGACGCTGCCTGTTCTTCCCGCCTTTGCTCTGGCAGCTGCCTAACTCTCCCCTGCCTGCCGGTCTCTCTCTCTCTCTGTCTCTGTCTCTTCCTTTCTCCTCCTTCTCCTTTTGCCTTTTCCCTGCCGCTCTCTACTCGCCCGCCCGCGCGCCTGCCTCTGCCATTTCCCTGCGCCGCGCGCCTCCTCTTCCTCCTCAGCACCACCAGCAGCGGGGACAGCGGCGGCAGCATGTCGAACTCGGGCAGGAAGGACTTTGACGTGAAGCACATCTTGCGCCTCCGCTGGAAACTGTTCAGCCACCCAGCGGCGTCGGCGGGCGGCTGTTTGCAGCCGGACAGCAGCTTCGAGCACTGGGGACCCAGCCAGAGCCGCCTCCTCAAGAGCCAGGAGAGGAGCAGCGGTGGCGGCGGCGCCTTCTGGAAGCGAGCCTCCTCTTCCTCGTCCTCTTCCTCGTCGTCGCCTCGCTCCGCCTCGCCCCTCAACGGGACCCTGCTCCCGGCCACCCGGCTCCAGGCGCTGGCCGAGCAGCCGCCCCGCTCCGTCTTCTACGTGGAGTCCCTAGAGGAGGAGGAGGGGCCCGGGGAGTTCCCTCGCCAGGCGGAGAAAGCGCTTCTCCTGCGCCAGGTCAAGGCGGGAGGAGGAGGAGGAGGGCAGGAGCCCGCGCCTCTCTCCGATGGCGGCGGAGGAGGCGGTGGAGGCGGCGGACGGGCAACAGGTGACAGCGTCGTCCACAGGTAACTCTCACAAGGGACTCCTTCTGTCACTCTTCCCCTGACCCCTTCCCGCAGGGAACCGTTCCAAAGGCATCCCCATGCTGGTCTTCTTTGGGGAGGATTTCTGTGTGTGTGTGTGTCCCAGATTGACTAAGTTCTAGGTCTCCTTGGGGCTCATCACCCACCCCACTTGCTCTTCACTAAGTTGAGCAAACTTAGATGGAATTCGAAGTCCAGTCACCCACCACAGTTGGGCTTCACTCAGAAGCAACAGTAAAGTAATCTGAGTGATAAAAAAGCACTTCAAGTATAGTAAAAGTTGGGCATCCCTTAGCCAGAGATCTGAAATGCTGCAAAATCATCTGTCTGGTTGAGATGGGGCTTGACGTTTTGGGTTTTGCGGTGTATGGCTTTCATTGACTCAGTAGCAAAATTAATGTCATTGTTGGTCACTCTTGATCATTTTACAATCCTCAAAAGCCCAGTTCAGGCCGAGCAGAGTACTGACATCTGAAATGCTCCACAGTCATCTTCATGAATGGTAGGGGTAGGGACATCTTTGATTTCTGAAAGTCCAGTGTATACAAACTTTGTTCCATGAACAGAAACATTGGAATACTGTGCATAAAATGACCTTTAGGCTAAGGTGTATATTAAACATAAATGGATTTCATGTAGACTTCGGTCCTGCCTCCAAGATGTCTCATTTATATGCAAGTACTGTACAATTCAGGCATTTTGGACAAACTGTCTCATGATGTATATGCAAGTATTCCACCTTCCATCCCTTCTCCAAAGTTGAAAATACAGAACACTTCTGGTTCCCAGCATTTTGGATAAGAGGAACAAGTTTGCCTGGCACTCATTTTCAAACTTCTTACATGGGCTGTTGATATCGTGACTGAGGCAGTCATTTTTCCTAAGTTCACTTCCTTGGCACGAACAGGCATATGCTGGTTATGTGCACTGGGAAGCTAAACTCTGTGGGAGTCCCTCACAGGTAACTGCACTCAAGCACTCTTGCAGACTTATAGTGGGCTGTGCTCAGTGGGGCATAGCCTGCTGTGCTTGCATAGCTTTGCAGCCTTCCCTGCTTTGCAGTCAGTAGAACTTATACAAACCAGCCAACAAGGGTAGGAACTGGCTCTGAATTACATTGAGTTAAAAGAGAAAGATTTGAACGCATGCTTAACATCGGTGAAGCTCAACATTTACTTCACTTTGTCTGGGCTATGCCTTTAGCCATCAGGTTTCTGGAATTACTTTCATGGCAAAGGGTAGAAGAAGTGTTTCCCATGAAAATTCTGTTTCAAATGCACTTGAGTAATACAGTAGGAAAAATATGTCACAATCTAAAGAATCTAAACTAAAACTAGACAGATGCCAGACCCGGTGTGGAAAACTTTATACTTAGTGCTGTATATCTATTTTAGAGCCAGAGCCAGTATTCCTTGCTTAAGAAAACTCTGTGAAATGCATAAGGTTGCCATAAGTGGACAAGCAGTTTGAAGGTCACACACACATATATTTCTATTGTAGTTCTAAACTCTGCATGAACTTTTGTGCCTGCCTACTAGTCCCTGCTGTGAAGGTTAGCATTTAAGTTAGATGTGCTACAAACGGGATGAAGCTATATACTTTAAAGTGCAATTAGGTGAGAGTTACATGTGTAAGTCATTCCTATTTGTGTGCTGAAAGACTTCAAAGTGCTTAGATTTGCCTGGACTTTCCTGTTCTGATTTCTGGGGGCACTTATTTTTCTGCTCTCTGTTGCTTATTCTTTGAAATCAGGCCTTGTAGGCTTCTCCCAGGAAAAGTCTAAGTAGCATAACTCATAATCACAAGTTCAGGTAGCCAGTGTGAAACCAATTTATCTCAATTCATCCTTCATGCAATTTTAAAGGGAAAATGCATGATGCCTTAAGTTCAATTTCAGTTAAGCTCAGGTAAAGCCTTGCTCCACAATTTACTTCAGTGCTCTGGGAAAGAGTAAGAATAGTACACTGTAAGTGAAGAAAGACTTGTATTTAAAATATTCAAAATTCCCCCAAACTTGGACAAGCTATCTTTTTGGACCCCAAACTTCACAGTATCTGAAAATACATAGCCACCTGCTTCCCCTCAGTAAATCCTAGGGAATATAGTAGGATTTATATTTTAGTAGACAAAGCATATTTAAGTTAACTGTGGGCCCAGACACAGGCAGATTGAACTCTACCATCTCTCATCAAACAGAAATGAAAACAAGGCTTCTTTAAAAAAAACTTCAACACACACATACACATTTGGTTGCCAAAACCATAAACAGCTCCATGATTTGAGCAGAATGGTTGAGCTTGAACTTAGTCCATTGGACAAGTGAATTCATTGAATACTATTTGTTTGTCCCAAAATCCAGCAAATTGTTAAAAACTTTTGGTTCCTAAGCTTTTTCATGTGTACTTAGGAATTAATTAGCTTATCATATTAAAAATAATGGCATCTGCAATTAACAGTGGCTTTGGAACAAAACTTGAATATTCTGTTGCTGTGTTAGAATCATAACATTTCTGCAATTTGCAGGCACTTTGCTATTTATTTCCTAATACAATACTATATACTCTTACCATGACACAAATAGCACTGATTCGACTTGCCTCATAAATATGTTTTTGGTTGAATTTCAAAATTCACTGCACTAATATCCATTGACTCTTTCCATTTTGTCTGATATTTTTGTTTGCTATGACATGTTGATGATAGAGATATCTGATTTCCTTTTGGTTTGCAAGACAAATAGAAAAAATATTTATGCTTTATCTTGCCAGTTATTTTAATCTGACTCAGTTAATTTTAATTTTAGAATTACTGAATGTCAAATAAGGGGTGGGGCATCAACAAGTGTCAGTAAGTCACGTTAAGCACATTTCAATCTATTGTTTTCAGTGGCAAAATTAAACCTACACTTAATTCTTAATTAATTCTCTCACATAAAAGAAACTACAAGGTACTGAAATTTTGATGGGAAACCAACTGTTTAAACCAGTGTTTCTCAAGCTATACAATTTCAGGTGTTCTGAACTTCAGCTCCCACAATTCCCAACAGCTGGTAAGATGGTTAGGATTTCTGGAAACACACATCCAAAACACCTGGAGAGCCTAGTTTGAGAAACACTGGTATAAACAAATAAAAATGGCTTCATGTTCTTCAGTGCCATTTTTACTTGTTAGTCTTTTAAAAAGCTGATTTCTCAGTTATGTTTTTTTCCAGTCATTATTAAACTGGAATTTGCCAGGTATGACTTGTTTACATTCATTTATACTGCTCCACAATTTAGCCTAGACGTCAAAAAAAGGTTTAAGGGCACTTAGTAAGACTTCAGTGCCACAAGTGCAGTGTTGGGAGTTTATTATTGCATGTTTCCTAGATGCTATGGTGTTAATCATAGCCCTGAGGTTATCTGCATTCTTGATAAAGTGTCAACAAATTATTATTGCTAGTATCCAATTCTTATCATCGTTTTTAGTATTCAGTTCTTATCTTTCAATGATTTCAGATAAACAAATATTTTTCCTCAAAAGGTTAAGGACACAAACTTGAAAATGCTAAGCTCCTTGAAGTTAAAAACCATGTATGCTACTACTTTCATTGGGAAGCTTTTTGCATCTTCCCAAGGACTCTATAGAATTCAGTTGTCTTCACTCTGAAGACAGAATGAGGAGAAATCTGTGTTACCTCGCTTCACCTTTATATTGAGGTAGCTATTCATGCTGCAGTTTCACTTAAGTATAAATAATGTTTAAATCAGCCAGGAGGAAAGTTACTGTAAATTTACAGATAGTAATTCAGAGTAGAAGGGGCTGAAACCAAAGGAAACATATTATTCAAACATATGGAAGTATTTTGGCACTTCCTTCTGCTTTTCTGTGTTTTATGTGCATGAAACAAAAATATGAAACAATGTTGTTGGTAAGAGAATGAGTCCTTCCCTTCCCACTATACCAAAACACCATCCTGTTTTTGTCTCTCCATACAGAATTAGTCATTGGAAAATGTCTGACTAGGAGACAAATAACTTGTCACAGAACTAGGAGCTCACCTAAGCAGTTACGAACCTGTTGTAAGTCCTGTAATATATGAATTGGCTTTCAAGATAAAACCACAGGTTTAACAGCAAATTCAATTTTCCCAGTCATGTGTTTTGTTCTGTGTATACACTATGGACCTCTTCACATGTCTGGCAGCAGAAGGTGGCGGCATATGAGTTCCATCCCTCTGCACCCACAGTACTGGCTGGCTCCGTGGGTGACCAGGGCTAGATTGGTATTTGCCACTGAATCTAGTCCCATATGATAAGGTCGGATATATGGCTGGGACAGAGAGTTAGGAGTCACAGACACTGAAAAAATGAAGCTTGATGCTAAACATGTTGGTTTTCCCTTAGCAACTCTATTTTCTGACACTTTTCAGCACATTTGCAGAAAATGTGTTGTAGAACCTAGAAAAGTTACAGATGAAGACAGTACATGAAAAACTGGTACACATGGCCCATATTGTGGCTTTTCCCTTGCAAGTAGGACTAATACATGAAATGTGTGTGTGTGCTGCTCTATGTATAGACTATAGACATTGCTTTCATTTGGAAGACAAAAATGGTGGTTTGTTATCTGTCAAAGAGAAGAAACAGACTCTTGTGTGGGTACAGGTGGAGATCTGTATGAGATTGCTAGTCTACTCACATGAGTAGACTGCTTAGGCAAGCTGTTATTTCTGCATATAATGATATATGCATCAGTTTCAGGGCAGTGGAGCTGGAAGGCTGGATTCATACAGTTTGACTTTTTATTAGAAATTTTTACAAGTATTCATTTATTTTTCATATTTTGGGAGCATCAGAGCATTGGTAACCGTGGCAGAGATTTTTTGAAATGGAAGAAGAGAAGGTGAAATAATGACTTTCTTTGGATTAGTTGGTTCAGTCATGTTGGAAAGATTTGAATATAGAGGAATGTTTTTTTTTAATAAAAACAGCAGCAATAAC